TTCACGTCAGGAAATACTGGAACGTCAGAATAGTTCAGCTATAACGCAACACAGGCGGGGCATGAAGAGCTAGACTTCACTTCCCAGTGGACACTGATACTCAAAGTACTGATAGGTGAGCGCAGGCACTGCAGACTTGATGCCATCATTGTCAGTGATGAATATGGCACTGATGATGACGTCACCCAGGGGTCACGGAGGGTCAGGGGCGGAGAGTGGACGCACCCAGCTCAGGGAGGGGAAGGAGTGAGGATCAGAAGGGAGAAAAAAGATGAATGATGAGGGGAATGGAAGGGGGAAGAGTGGGAAGGGAGAGTTTGTGAAGGATGTACTGTAATATTATTACAACACGTCCGCCACATCACGTATGGGGGGATTTGTCGAATTCCATCTTGAACGTAGAAGTCTGTTAGTAATTTCCCTTTAATTTAGAGGGAAAGTGTTGAAAGCCTTCGACCTTTTATATTCAGAATTCTGAATTTGAATTCTGAATTTATATTCAGAATTCTGAGTGCTTATTGCGCCCCTATTGGTCATTCTACTATGCCTTCTGGTCACGTAAGGAAATATTTCATAGCACAAATAATGCCTTACGGGAGGAGACCAGGGGAATTGTAGAATGAAAACCAGGTTATTTCAACGACTGACTGTACTTCAGAGTAGCAGCACCCAGGAGTCCCCCTGTGGCTAGAGGAGGAGGGGGGGGGGCAGGGGGTAATTGTTGTGTATGGGTTAGGATCACCTTTATCCCCACCTGACGTAAGGGTGATCACTCACAGTGTAGGTGCTGGAATTGTGTACGAGTTCATCTAATAACATGAAATATGACGATAAATATCCATTAATTTGCTGAATATTTATGTACTAGTTGAACCCTTACGACAAACGGGTGGCAATTTGATTATAATCTTAAAATCGCTTAAAGCTAATGTGGCGACTTTTAGTGTTCCATTATTGTATAATTTGTGTAGAATGTTGTACCGTTGAAAGAGGCGCGTACATTAGTGTGTATATAGACAATGGCCAGGTCGAGCGGCCCGCCTCATCAGTGCTAACACTGGGCGAGCGACCGTGGTGGAAGAGCAGGCACATGCTGGCCGAGGTGGGAACAAATCAACATTCGTGCAGACGTCTTAATTAGTGGTGGTTTACCTGCTCACACCTGGTCTTTCTTGTGTGTTTAGGGAGTGGGAGGAGACTGATTAGAGCTCACCTCGTCACCTCTACCTGCCTTGTATATGTGTTTAGGGAGGTGTGGGGGAGGGGAGTAAATAAAGCTGGCTCTGTCACCATCTTGTCAACGTGTACTTAGGGAAGGGAAGAAGGGAAGGGGCCCCAGTAGCAACGACTCGCACTCCTTCAGCACCTGCGCTGCCTCGGCTCGCCCACACAGTGGCCGGATGTGGCCCATTAAGATGAATAGTGTAACTGGCAATGTGATCTGATCTGCCTTCTTGTGAGAGTTCTCGTGTTAATGTGTGTGTTGAGGAGAGTTTGACCGGTTTTTGTCAGTCCTGTTTGACGTGCCTGCGCCCTGCAGCGTGCGTGGAGACAGTCATCAACTGGCTGTACACGCGTGGATGTATGCCTGCTGCTTTCCTTGGAACAAGTGGGAGGAGACTTGTAGTCTCCCGTTACTAGGAGACTTGTAGTCTCCCGTTACTAGGAGACTTGTAGTCTCCCGTTACTAGGAGACTTGTAGTCCCCCGTTACTAGGAGACTTGTAGTCTCCCGTTACAAGGAGACTTGTAGTCTCCCGTTACTAGGAGACTTGTAGTCTCCCGTTACTAGGAGACTGTGCGCGAGCCCTCGCCCCCGGGTAGTCTCGACTAGATAACGACTACCTCACAAGCCTGGAGCCCGGCCAGCATCACCACCACCATCCTGTGTATTAAAGTGTTGATTCATCTGCCTGTGGGTGGCTCCGGAACTGAGTCAGCCCTCGTCTAGTGACGCCACAGCCAGGGATACCGTGTTTAGGGCGTGTGTGTCAGGATGAGGACAATTTGGAGTGGATTCCAAAAAAAAGGGTAGAGGAAGTAGTTTGGTCTCCCAAGATGTAATCAGCGCACGTTGTCTTCCTGTTGAGTTTTGTGCTCGCGCAAGTTTGAGCGGGACACGCGACCCCCTACGGTGACCTAGATTGTGTAATATACGAGTTATTGATGTAGATTCCGTTAGTAATTATTCGTTGGTCATTATTACCCGTTCGTCAGACCGGCTGGCCGTTCGTTGCTCATTCGTTTAACTGCGCTCGTTCAACCGTCCGATTTTTGTCCTGGTCAGACCGTTCGTCCAAGTGCTCGTCCGTCCGTTCGTTCAATCACTTGAGGTGGACGGTAGAGCGACAGTCTCGCTTCCTGCGGGTCGCCGTTCAATCCTCGACCGTCCAAGTGGTTGGGCACCAGTTCTTCCTCCACCGTCTCATCCCAAATCCTTATCCTGACCCCTTCTAAGTGTTATATAATCGAAATGGCTTGGCTCTTTAGGCTGACAGTTACCTTCTCTTCGTCCGTCCGTTTTTCCGTCCGTCCGTTTTTCCGTCCGTCCGTTTTTCCGTCCGTCCGTTTTTGTCCGTTTACCTACATACCATGTACGTTAATTATTACACTTGGGTGCTTGTGCTCCTCACTTTTTAGTGAAAGAAACGGATAATTACCATGATGATTCATGCGTTGAGCTGCAATTATCAGGAGCTGTTGTGCAACGGTTAATTGGTCCACGGGACCTTATATTGCCGCTGGTTAAATGGCACGATCGTGTCATTGTTTTTAACCGGATACTCCTGTATTATTAGCTAATACAATGCAAACATTGGATATCATTGGGTTCTGGTCGACTCTGAATGGGAGAGAGTTTTCACCAAGTGGTCTGAAGTTTTTTATTATTTCTTGAGCGTATGTCATCATGTTACTTATCTATGCAGGGCAAGAGGGTCCTCTAGAGGGGGGTGTGGACCCCTCTGCGTTACGTGGGTGAAGTACGGGAAGCGTAAGTCTCTTCTGCTGGGTGCTGGTGGGGATAATGGTGGTTGGAGGGGGTGTTGTTGATGGTGGTAAAGCTGGTAGTGTTGATAAGTGTGTGGGTGGTGGTGGTGGTGATGGTGTTACCGGTAGTGGGGATGATGGTGGTGATGGTGATGGTGTTACCGGTAGTGGGGATGATGGTGGTGATGGTGTTACCGGTAGTGGGGATGATGGTGGTGGTGATGGTGTTACCGGTAGTGGGGATGATGGTGGTGATGGTGATGGGAAGCTCACTGGAAATCAACTACCCCTTCACCTTCCAGCCTGTGACGGGGTGAAAGGGGGGGGGAGGGGTAATTAAGAGACGGGTGAAGGGTGATTAATTAACAGAAGAAAGGGGGTCTACATTGTATTACATTGTATTCTGGGGTGTGAGTTTTCAGTTTATATATATATATATATATATATATATATATATATATATATATATATATATATATATATATATATATATATATATATATATATGTTGTACCTAGTAGCCAGAATGCACTTCTCAGCCTACTATGCAAGGCCCGATTTGTCTAATAAGCCAAGTTTTCATGAATTAATGTTTTTTCAACTACCTAACCTACCTAACCTAACCTAACCTAACTTTTTCGGCTACCTAACCTAACCTAACCTATAAAGATAGGTTAGGTTAGGTTCGGTAGGGTTGGTTAAGTTCGGTCATATATCTACGTTAATTTTAACTCCAATAAAATAAAATTGACCTCATACATAATGAAATGGGCAGCTTTATCATTTGATAAGAAAAAAAATAGAGAAAATATATTAATTCAGCAAAACTTGGCTTATTAGGCAAATCGGGCCTTGCATAGTCGGCTGAGAAGTGCGTTCTGGCTACTAGGTACGACATATATATATATATATATATATATATATATATATATATATATATATATATATATATATATATATATATATATATATATATATATATATAAAAGGTTAGGTTATATTCAAGTTTCTGGTGATTAATATTCTGACGGAGACTTCAATTAATAACTGTTGACGTGTGGGAAGTGTCTGGTGATAAAGAGGACACGAAGGTTTTTGTTGGCTTGGTTAACACTTGTGATGGAGACGAGCCTTATCTTGTGGCCCATAAGGCCAGGAGGGAGTTAATATTTAGTGTGTGTGTGTGTGTGTGTGTGTGTGTGTGTGTGTGTGTGTCTGTGTGTGTCTGTGTGTGCGCGTGTGCGTGGGTGGGTTTATACAATTTGCATTGACTATTTGTATTTGCAGGATCAAGCTCTTAGCTCCTGGACCCCGCCTTTCTTACCTACGGGTGTCTAATGTACCACCCTATTTTTTCCATCATATCTACCACGTAATTCCCCCCTTTCCTTCTCCCCTTTCATTCCCTCATCTCTCTCCCCCTCCCTCCTCCTCCCCCTCCCTCCTCCTCCCTCCTCCTCCCTCCTCCTCCCTCCTCCTCCCTCCTCCTCCCTCCTCCTCCCTCCTCCTCCTCCTCCTCCTCCTCCCTCCTCCTCCTCCTCCTCCTCCTCCTCCTCTCCCTCACTCCCTCCCCCCCCCCCGTCGGTATAATATTCATACTGTTGGACTTTATTGCTGTGTTGAGTGCAACAGAATATGGAAATGATGCTTTATGGCTTATTTATAATCATTATGCGAAATGGTCTTTGACTTGGCAGTATTTTATGCTTGGTGCTGGGGGGAGAGGGGTGGTGGGGGTGTTGGTGGGGGAGAAGGGGTGGTGGGGGTGTTGGTGGGGGAGGAGGGGTGGTGGGGGTGTTGGTGGGGGAGGAGGGGTGGTGGGGGTGTTGGTGGGGGAGGAGGGGTGGTGGGGGTGTTGGTGGGGGAGGAGGGGGGGGGTGGTGGGGGGGGAGGGGAGTGTTGGAGGTGTGGAGGAAGTGTTGTCAGAAGTGTTGCTGGGGGCCCCCGCCAGCCTGGCCTCCTCCAGGAAGGTCACAGTGGTCCAGCGGTGTGGCACCACCGCGGCAACTTTGTTTACTTAACGAGTTGCCGCGTGATGCTTGGCGGAGTGGCAACTCTGCGTCGTCTTGGGGCAGAGACTGGCAACTCTGCGTCGTCTTGGGGCAGAGACTGGCAACTCTGCGTCGTCTTGGGGCTGAGACTGGCAACTCTGCGTCGTCTTGGGGCAGAGACTGGCAACTCTGCGTCGTCTTGGGGGCAGAGACAGGCAACTCTGCGTCGTCTTGGGGGCAGAGACTGGCAACTCTGCGTCGTCTTGGGGGCAGAGACTGGCAACTCTGCGTCGTCTTGGGGGCAGAGACTGGCAACTCTGCGTCGTCTTGGGGGCAGAGACTGGCAACTCTGCGTCGTCTTGGGGCAGATACTGGCAACTCTGCGTCGTCTTGGGGCAGAGACTGGCAACTCTGCGTCGTCTTGGGGCTGAGACTGGCAACTCTGCGTCGTCTTGGGGCAGAGACTGGCAACTCTGCGTCGTCTTGGGGCAGAGACTGGCAACTCTGCGTCGTCTTGGGGCTGAGACTGGCAACTCTGCGTCGTCTTGGGGCAGAGACTGGCAACTCTGCGTCGTCTTGGGGCTGAGACTGGCAACTCTGCGTCGTCTTGGGGCTGAGACTGGCAACTCTGCGTCGTCTTGGGGCAGAGACTGGCAACTCTGCGTCGTCTTGGGGCTGAGACTAGCAACTCTGCGTCGTCTTGGGGCTGAGACTGGCAACTCTGCGTCGTCTCTGTCTTGGGGGCAGAGACTGGCAACTCTGCGTCGTCTTGGGGGCAGAGACTGGCAACTCTGCGTCGTCTTGGGGCTGAGACTGGCAACTCTGCGTCGTCTTGGGGCAGAGACTGGCAACTCTGCGTCGTCTTGGGGCTGAGACTGGCAACTCTGCGTCGTCTTGGGGCTGAGACTGGCAACTCTGCGTCGTCTTGGGGGCAGAGACTGGCAACTCGGCGTCGTCTTGGGGGCAGAGACTGGCAACTCTGCGTCGTCTTGGGGGCAGAGACTGGCAACTCTGCGTCGTCTTGGGGGCAGAGACTGGCAACTCTGCGTCGTCTTGGGGCAGAGACTGGCAACTCTGCGTCGTCTTGGGGCAGAGACTGGCAACTCTGCGTCGTCTTGGGGCAGAGACTCGCAACTCTGCGTCGTCTTGGGGCTGAGACTGGCATCTCTGCGTCGTCTTGGGGGCAGAGACTGGCAACTCTGCGTCGTCTTGGGGCAGAGACTGGCAACTCTGCGTTATCGTGGACGCACCTCCCTCCGCTGCCGACGCCGACGCAGGGTGTCTGCTGTAAACCGTGACTTGTGACTATGATCGCTTGTAAACAGTTCCGGGCGAGTGAGCCGCCCCCTCCCTGATCATATAGGGAATTGTTTATGGCCACAATACACTTCTCCAGACTCTGTTGTGTCTTGTGTTTTATTCCCGCCTCCCTCTCTTCCTCCCAAGACCTGTGACGTGTGTGTGTGTGTGTGTTCCTTGCCCTCCTCCCGTGCGTGTGCGTGCGTGCGTGTGTGGGGGTGTGTGTAGGTGGGGGGGGTGGTGGGGGGTCTTGTGGAGGGAATCGTAACTTGTAACTGTGCTTAGCTTGCAGGGATTTGTTTGCGTTGTATGTTTTCCTGCCGTGTTGCAAGGCCTGAGCACGCCTGAGCACCGTCACCTTGCACACAACAGGTGAACAAGAGCCCGGCGACGGTGGTCGAGTCACGGTTGAGTGCTGCTGGACCTGGGAAGCTTGACTGTAGCGGTGAGCAGAGGTGAGGTGTGTTCAGGCCACGGTGCTGCCTGGGGGCGTGGGGTGATGTGGGTGGGTGGAGGAGGTGGGGGTTGTGGGCGTGTGAGGTATAGCAGAGGGGGTGGGGGTTATTGTGAGGGGGTCACAATCGACTTGAGAATGGTCCAGGACGAACCGAAACGTCGTCGTCGTCGTCCCTTCACCTTCTAGTGTGTGGTCTGGTCAACATCAGCCACGTTATTGTGGCTCGTCTGCGTTATTGTGGGGGTTTGGGTGACAGGAGGGGGTGTGGGGTATCGGGTTGTGGGGGGAGGGTTAACGGGGGGTATTGGAGAGTGCTCGTGGCTGGGACTAATTGTTGTTATGGATTCAGCTACTCTCAACAAGTTCCAAGTAGCACGGGGTATGGTGAGCCCGTAGCTTACCTGACACAGGAGCGGTGCTGTCGAGGAGCCGACGCGGACAGTGTATCATCCCACTACACTATACATCAGGAGCTATTGTGCTATCGCCATTTATCGACGTGTGCAAGTAATCACAATATACGGTCAATGTCCCCCTTGGCCTATTGGTAAATTTGACCAGGTTATCTTGAGATGATTTCGGGGCTTTAGTGTCCCCGCGGCCCGGTCCTCGACCAGTTCTCCACCCCCCCCAGGAAGCAGCCCGTGACAGCTGACTAACACCCAGGTACCTATTTTACTGCTAGGTAACAGGGGCATAGGGTGAAAGAAACTCTGCCCATTGTTTCTCGCCGGCGCCTGGGATCGAACCCAGGACCACAGGATCACAAGTCCAGTGTGCTGTCCGCTCGGCCGACCGGCTCCCAATGGTGGTGGTAACATGTGTGGCAATATAGTTAAATATCTGGTCAAATGGTAATCGAAATATTGTTGGTTGCCATCAGCAATAGCCAGACTGATCAGGGAAGCTGACCAGTCTGGCCTGAGAAGCCTGGCCTGAGAAGCCTGGCCTCTAGGCTTGGGGAGCCGGTCGGCCGAGCGGGCAGCACGCGGGACTTGTGATCCTGTGGTCCTGGGTTCGATCCCAGGCGCCGGCGAGAAACAATGGGCAGAGTTTCTTTGACCCTATGCCCCTGTTACCTAGCAGTAAAATAGGTATCTGGGTGTTAGTCAGCTGTCACGGGCTGCTTCCTGGGGATGGAGGCCTGGTCGAGGACCGGGCCGCGGGGACACTAAAAAGCCCCGAAATCATCTCAAGATAACTCAAGATAACCTCTAGTACCTTGTCTGTGACACTATTATAATCCCAGTCAATGGCTGGATGGTCAAGGTCGGAGTGCCTTGACCATCTAGGCCAACTCACTAATGGGGTAGTTATCTCCTGGACATTAATCCCCGTCAACCAGGACGCGTGATGACTGGTGGGGCCCACACCAGGTATTTGGTCATACCCCGAGGCCCCTTCCTCTTTTGGTCCAGCATTATTAATACACTATAGAGCCAGTGAGCAGGGTGGGTTGCCTCACTTGTTATCCATGAGGCTTGGGCATTAAAAAGTTCATTATGACTGACTCTTGTTGCTACAACTAATTAGGTTTGGCCTCATATCTCCTTCGCCTGTGATTACCGCTGGGCCTTCTGGTTATGAACGACAAGAAAGATAACACAGGTGAATGCAACGATAACCTACTGGTAAGTGGGTGGAAGATAACGTGAGCCCGCCCCAGCTACCAACCCCCAAGATGACGGAACTGTTACCTGTGACATCCTTGGAATCTCAAAACAAGTCCTATAGCACACCTGGTGACAGAGATCTTCAACTGACTAATCACAATAAAGAAAAACTCTCAATGGAACTACAAAGGAATTCGCAACAGACGTTGACGTGATACAATACGTGTAAAAACACTGAACAGACGTGCTTGTGGTGCAGGAGACACTGACAGGTGGTGACTTCAACCACAGGTACACTGACAGGTGGGGACTTCAACCAGAGGTACACTGGCAGGTGGTGACTTCAACCAGAGGTACACTGACAGGTGGTGACTTCAACCAGAGGTACACTGACAGGTGGTGACTTCAACCAGAGGTACACTGACAGGTGGTGACTTCAACCAGAGGTATACTGACAGGTGGTGACTTCAACCAGAGGTACACTGACAGGTGGAGACTTCAACCAGAGGTACACTGACAGGTGGTGACTTCAACCAGAGGTACACTGACAGGTGGAGACTTCAACCAGAGGTACACTGACAGGTGGTGACTTCAACCAGAGGTACACTGACAGGTGGGGACTTCAACCAGAGGTACACTGACAGGTGGGTACTTCAACCAGAGGAACAGCCACTATCACAACTATTCCCTCGCTCGTGGTGATAGCAGATGGCGCCTCATTACGTATGTAACAACATACCTACTCATAATCCCTAATGATCTCCACATGCGGAGGGGAGGAGAATGATTATGATGGTTCACAAAGGGGTAACCATCCACTTGAACAACAACAACAACGTTAAAAATCTATCAGTCACACCATAAATTTGATCTTGTTACCGGAATTTGTTGAGGAGGAAATTCTATCATGTTGGTCCGGGGGACCTTAATCCCTGGGCTTTGATGCTGTGGTCATGCTAGTGTCCAGGGAAACAGACGTTCATGGTTTGTTGCAGGAAGTGAAAATATCAGAATCCTGAGACCAGATTCACGAAAGCACTTACGAACGTGTACACCTTTCCTCAATCTTTGACGGCTTTGGTTACATTTATTAAACAGTTTACAAGCATGAAAACTTGCCAATCAACTGTTGTTATTGTTATAAACAGCCTCCTGGTGCTTCGGAGCTCATTAACTGTTTAATAATTGGAAACAAAGCCGCCAAAGATTGAGAAAAGATGTACAGGTTCGTAAGTGCTTGCGTAAATGCTTTCGTGAATCTGGCCCCTGGGTGATGGACAATTAGCCCTACTCAACCGAGGAAGATCAGACTGTGTGCTCCTGCTGAATGCACAAGATATTGGTGTTAGCACACCATTATATATATACCTTCCGCATTGACCACTTGGCGCTACTGGCCACCGGTTTCACTAATTTGCATAATTTCGGTAAAAAAAAGTCGTAATTTAAAACTCCAAATATGTGCAATGAACCAGAATTTGGCTCAACATTATTATTTCCTCAAGAATCATATTTCCGATAGGCATCGTATTTTGAAAGCTGCAGGTCAGTTTGGGACCTGACCTTCACGTATCTTCCATTTATATATTATTTGATGCCTTTCTCGTCTCCTTTCCAGAGAGTACATTTTGAGAGCTTTGAGACAGGTCCCAATAATTTTAGATACTTTATCGTTTCTATGCGTGCTGTATATGTTGTCTGTATTGCCTCTAAATCAGAGATCTCTCCCGCTCTGAAAGGGGAAGTAAGTACCGAGCAATACTCAAGACAGGACAGCACCAGTGATTTAAATAGTATTAGCATTGCTGTGGGGTCTCTGGATTTGAACGTTCTCATAATCCATCCTATCATTTTCCTGGACGCTGCTATATTTGCTCGGTTATGTTCACTAAATGTCAGATCTTCAGACTTCATAATTCCCATATCTTTTACATGTTGCTTTCCTTCTATGAGCAGGTCTGATTGTGTTCTGTACCTTGTGTTTAGTTTATTTCCTCGTTTAACCCATACCTCAGTACCTGGAACTTGTCACCGTTAAACACCAGGTTATTTTCAGTTGCCCAATCGAAGATCTTATTAATATCTGCCTGTTGTTTTTCAGTGTCTTCTACAGAGAAATTTTCATGCTGATTTTTGTATCATCTGCAAAGGATGGCAGTCTCCTGTCATGCATGTACGAGATTCTTAAGAAGCTCATCTTAAACAGTTTGCTGCAAAATAGACTAAATATTGACAAATCCGTTGACCGGATTGGTCAACGGATTTGTCAAAGGACGAGCTCAGCCAGTTGTATAATTAATTATGTAGCTAATGGCACAGCTAAGTAGTCTGTTTTTATTGATATCTTAGACGTCTTTTTGACATCTTAGACGTCTTTTGACATCTTAGACGTCTTTTTGACATCTTAGACGTCTTTTTGACATCTTAGACGTCTTTTTGACATCTTAGACGTCATTTTGACATCTTAGACGTCTTTTTGACATCTTAGACGTCTTTTTGACATCTTAGACGTCTTTTTGACATCTTAGACGTCTTTTTGACATCTTAGACGTCTTTGATAAGGCACAAAGGGTTGCGTCCTGGATGAGCTGGCAATCTTGGGTGTCAAGGAGAGACTCAAGAAATGTGACAATATCTTATTAAAGAAAGCCCTGATCATCTTTGAAGGATTGGTTCCAAGTCCAATGAATATAGAACTTAGGATCCGTCAGGGAGGAGGAATAGAATGGAGGAATTTTATCATTCTTTTGGAATGATAAACACAGTTCCTTCAGTCCTTGAAAGGAAATATACTGAACTCTCTCTCTCTACACAAATTGAAACAGTTAAGTCCCAGCTGGGATGAAGAACCCAGCGGGTGTTCTACAGGCTACAGGAGCACAGTGTTCACTCACCGCCTGAGTGAAGCTTTTGTTTCTTTGGTAAAATACTTTTTTTCTTACGTGTCTGCTAAATTGCAGGGACGTGACTGAGGAGTGAACT